GCGGCGGCGCCGAGCAGCACCGCTGGCCAAGGCGCGCGCCCCCTGGACCCGAGCGCCGCCGACCGCCGACGGCGAGGAGGTGCCCGCGCGCGGCGGGCCGAAGGCCGAGCGACTGGCTGACGCGCGGCGCCGCGCCGCAGACGCCCGCGCTCAGCTGGCCGCGGTGCAAGCGGACGCCCTCGCAACGGAGACCGCGTCGCGGACGGCGCAGGACGCACTGCTGCGGGCGGCGGCCGCGCGCCAGTGGGCGGCTGAGGCCGCGAAGGAGGCCGAGCTCGACACGGAAGCGGGGGCGCAGGACGAGAGGGCGGGCGAGGAGAAGGACGGAGCGGACGCCGTCCAGAGCTGCAAACTTTGGGGAGCCCGTTGAGAAATCGGGCACACCCAGGGGAGCGGCCAGGGGCCGAGCGCACCGCCAGCGACGCCCGAGCGCGGCCGCCCCATACCCTGGACGGGAGCCCCTTGAGAATGGGGGCACATTTGGGGGAAGGGCAAGCGCTGCGGGCGTCGCCGCCACGACGCTGGCGGCACGAAACCGCTGGAAACCGCTCCTCCTCCAAGATCGAGGCCCTTGGTGACCCCTGCCCCACGAAGCCACCCAACCCTGCCCGCCAGCGAGCCAGGGACTGGCTCTCTGTAGGCAGGCACCCAGCACCTGGGAACAGGCGTCCACTACCCCATAAAAACATGTAATTGCTTCGTTTTGCTATGTTTATTGGGTTGGGTGTATCGTTGTCATCAACCCTCTCCCAGTATTCCAGTATTATATAGTCGTTGCCCCGTTCTCGCATGATTCGCCGTTCTATGATGCGTCATGCGTCCTCCTCATCCTCCTCCTCCTCTCCTTCCTCTCCTCCTCCTTTTTGCCTCCCTCCTCTCCTCCTTCATCTTTCCTCCTCCTCCCTTCCTCCCCCCCCCCCCCTCCCTCCTACCCCTTCTCCTCCTCCTCCCCTCCTCCTCTTCCTCCTCTTCCTCCTCCGCCTCCTCCGCCTCCTCCTTCTCCTCCTCCTCCTCCTCCTCCTTCTCCTCCTCCTCCTTTCCGAGTGCGTGGAGGTGCCCTCCTCCCCCGACATAAGATGCTACTGCGGCCCATTGGTTGTTACTGCGGCCCGGTGGGTGTTAGCATAGCCAGGGTTCCTCCGGAGTGTATCATTCAATGAGTATGGTGAAGGGGGGGGCTCCATCAAGCTCCCCTCCCCCCCTTCACCGAAGAGCCTCTCGGAAGAGCCTCTGGCGCTCTCCCAAGAGCCTCTTGGAGCCGCCGAAGACCTTGCAGCCGCCGAAGAGCCTCTTGGGCTCGCCGAAGAGCCTCTTGGGCTCTCCGAAGAGCCTCTTGGGCCCTCCGTAGAGCCTCTCAGGGCCTCCGAAGAGTTTCTTGGGCTCTCCGAAGAGCCTCTTGGGGCCGCCGAAGAGCCTCAGCCGCCGAAGAGCCTCTTCGAGCGGCCGAAGAGCGTGGTGTGGTGTTGTTTGTTGTTGTTGGTGGTGCTGTTGGTGTTGTTGTTGTTGTTGGTGGTGTTGGTGTTGGTGTTGGTGTTGTGGTTGTGGTTGTGGTTGTGGCTGTTGTTGCTGGTGGTTTGTTTGTTTGTTGTTGTTGTTGTTGTTGTGGGTATGGTGTTGTTGTTTGTTCGTTTGTTTGTTAGTGCGTTTTGTTGGTATTGTTTGTGTGTTGCTGTTTTGAGATTTTCTGCCCCAGACACCCTAGGACCCCCCCGTAGCAACCCCTGGGTCTAGTAATCCCTAGGACGAGTAATCCCTATGATTAGAGGTCCTTAGGACGAATACTCCCCAGGTCTAGTAATCCCTACCATCGGTAATTCCTATGGCTAGTATCCCCTAGGACATATATTCCATAGGACAAGTACTCCTTAGGACTAATACGCCCAAGGACTAGTGCCCCCTTGCCCCTTGCACTAGAATCCCTAGGACTAGTACTCCCTAGGGGTAATAATCCCTAGGACTAGTACTCCCTAGGGCTATCACTCCCAAGCGCCAGTACTTCCTTGGGGTAGCACTCCCTCGGACTAGCACTCCCTAGGACGCCGCAGCACGAGTAGTCCCTAGGACTAGTACTCTCCTAGGACTGGTACTCCCTAGGGCTAGCACTCCCTACAGCTAGTACTCCGTAGGACGAGTACGCCCTATGAGTGGTATTCCCTAACAAGGCATTGGTCGCAACGAGGCATCCTCCATGAGCCGTCTTGAGCCAAACATGGTTTTTGGAAGAGGGAGAGGGAGGGGCAGGGAGAGGGGGAGGGGAAGGGGTAGGGAGAGGGAGGAGGAGGAAAGGCTGCTACTACTACGACTACTACTACTACTACTACTACTACTACTACTACTACTACTACTACTACTACTACTACTACTACTACTACTACCACGACTACTACTACTACGACTACTACTACGATTACTACTACTACTACTACTACTACTACTACTACTACTACTAATACTACTACCACTACCACTACTACTACTACTACTACTACTACTGCTGCTGCTGCTGACTGCTGTTACTACTATACTAACCTTATTAATATACTACTATACTACTTATAATATACTTACTACTACTACTACTACTACTATACTACTACTACTACCACTACTTACCACTACTAATACTACTACTACTCCACTACTATACTACTACTACTACTACTAACTACTGAATACTTACTACTACTAACTACTACTCTACTACACTCCTACTTCCTACTACTTACTGGACTAATCGATAATACAGACTACTTAACTACTACTCACTATTACTACTACTACGACGACTTACGACTTACGATACGGGACTACGACTACTACTACGAACTACACTACTACTACTACGACTGACTACAATACTAGTATGTCGAAATTAAATTTAATACTACGACGACGACACGACGGACGGACGACGACGACGACTACTACTACTACGACTACTACTACTTTACTATCCTATTACTACTTACTCACTACTACACTACTACTACTACTTACTACTACTACTACTATAAATTACTTACTTACTCACTACTACTATTACTACTACTACTAATACTACTACTACTATACTACTACTTACTACTTACTACTATACTACTACTACTTACTACATACTACGGAATTACTACGATACTACACTACTACTACTACTACTACTAACCAACTACTACTACTACTGCTTACACTACTACTTACTACGACTTACGAACGGATTACGACTACGACTACGAACTTCTACCAACTACTAATACTACTACTACTCACTACTACTACTACTACTACTACTACTACTCTACTACTACTACTACTACTACTACTACTACTACTACTACGACTGCACTACTACTACTACTACTACTACTACTACTTACTTACTTAGCAGTAGTAACTACTATACTACTACTACTACTACTACTACTACCACCACTACTGCTGCTACTATTACTACTACTACTACTACTACTACTACTACTACTACAACTACTACTACTACTCGTACTACTACTCGTACTACTACTCGTGTTATTACTAGTACTACTACTAGTAGTACTACTACCAGTACTAATACTACTAGTACTAGTACTACTACTAGTAGTAGTAGTAGTAGTAGCAAAAATAATAGGAGTAGTAGTAGTAGTGGTAGCAGTAGAGGTTGTTGTAGTAGTATTAGTACTACTACTACTACTACTAATACTACTACTACTACTACTACTACTTCTACTACTACTACTACTACTACTACTATTATTACTACTACTACTACTACTACTACTACTACGACGACGACGACGACGACGACGACGACGACGACGACGACGACGACGACGACGACGACGACTACTACTACTACTACTACTACTACTACTACTACCACTACTACCACCACCACTACTACTACTACTACTACTACTACTACTACTACTACTGCTACCACTGCGCTTTTGCCAGGTGGGAGTTACTGTGGCCACTTTTGCTTGCGCGGGAGTGCATTCCCTTAAAGGGTTGCGAATTTCTCCAGATCTAACATGAGATACCTTTACATATTACTTTTCATTGAACGGCCAGCGCGGGCCACAGTAACTCCCATCCGGCCGCGCGACGGGCCACACTAACACCCAACGGGCCACACTAACACCCAACGGGCCACAGTAACAACCAGTCGCCTCCTCCCCCCCCCTCTGCCGCCCCGCCCCACTGGGGCAGCCGCGGCGGGACCGGCTCCTGCTCAGGAGCGCCATGCTTCTGGGGGCCTTCGGCGGCTCCATCGGAGGTATGCACTAGCCGGGCCAGGGGGAGTTCCAAAGCAAGTTCGCTTAATACTCATGGGCGATGTCGCTTCTCTTCCCTGGGCCCGGAATTTCTTCCATCTCGACATCCTCGACGCGTCGTTCCCAGCCGAGATTTGGAAGGGCCATCACCCTGGCGACCTTCTGTTCTGACAGCACGCCTGCGCCCAAACAAATCGTCCCCACTCTCTGTGATCCGCTGCTTTTGGGTGCACCGAATTCATGGACGACCTTGCGTGGTGGATGGCGCCCGAAGTCCTCATCCAAGGGGCCTTTGGGAGCTTAAGCCCCCGATCCCAATCGAGCAGGTGGTCCAGCGGTGCCTTGTTTGTGCGCTTCTTGTCGGGCTTCGCACCAGAGCCCACTGAGACAAAGAGAAGGCAGGCTCGGGTGAGGGAGGGAGACTGCTTTGGACAATGCGCTGAGCGTTGCGAGTCCCCCCTGCGCCTATGAACCTCATCGATAGGGCGGGGGGGGGCGGTTGATGGAGAGGACCGAGGGGTGTGCCCCTCCCGAGGGAGCGAGGCCAACTCCCCTGGGTCCACCCACCCATTCGCGCAGGGCGGCCAGGCTTGGTTCGGATGCCCGCGTAGGTGTGCAGTCTTGTTTCCTCTCCAGGCGTCCTGGCCTCGCCGACGGGTCATCAGGTTGTCGAGCGCGGCGTTGGGGGACGCGCTGGTATACGATGCAAGTTGCGCAGACCCACTGGTCTCACCGGCAGTCCAGGGTGGTGGCGCCACGAGTGATAGCTGCACCGCCTCAGCGGTTGCCCTCTCTTTGCCTTCGGCCTTGTGTGGAGACCTTTCTGCAGGTCATCCAAGGACACGCCGTTAGCCTTCAGGTGGATCTGTTCCAGGTCATCGATCGTCGGACCAGCGGCACGCAGCAGCACGCAGCCAGGCGCGCCGACACGCACGTTCGCCCAGGCTGGCCTCTGCTGCCTCGGGCTGGGTTCCGGCGTCGGCCGTCTCGTCCCGGTGAGCCCCGAGGTCGGGCTGCAGGACGTCACAGGCGTGGTCCAGGTCAGTCTCAGCTTCCTCGTTCTCGGCGAGAGTGACCTGGCACGTTCTGCTCCAAAGCTGCTCGCCGTCCAAGTGGACGACAGCCTTCTGCGACGCCTCCTCGGTTGCGAAGTGGATCAAAGGGTAGCCCCCGCAGAGCTGGATAGTTGTGACGGGGCCGAACAGGCTGAAGGTGGCCTGGACGCCGCCCATGTCGAGGGCCTCTTCGTGGTCCTCGACGCGGATGGTCCTGCGAGAAGTGGTTTCTCGAAGGGCGTCCGTCCGCGGCGACGAGGAGCACGCGGCCTCTTGGACCCTGACGTTGTTGTCGGGGCCGCGGGACGCGCTGCTCTTTCTGGCTGAAGCCGGGTCCTGCACCGCCTGCGGTCCACTGGCCTCTCGGGGCCAGCGCCCTGGGGGCCGCCCTGGGTCTTCCTCTGCTGAGGTGCCCACCTTGGACAGTGCTGCCAGGGCAGCACGGGCTTTCTTCAGGTCTTCGCTCTTGGCGGCGGCGTCGGAGTTGCCGAGCCCGGCCTCCCCCTCGAGCTCCTTGCCGTTGCCGGCGCCCGCGAGGCTGGCGCCCGCCCCGAGCTCGCCGCCCTCGCGGGGCTCGGCGAGCGCGGTCCAGCGAGCCTGCCTGCTGCGCGAGCGGCAGCTTCCGCAGCCTGCGCGACGCTGCCAGCCGCGGGGCACGCGACGGCAGCCTTGGGGAGACAGTGCGCGGGGCGGTGATTGTTTGTTATTCCTTGTTTTGCCGATCGGCGTGGGCCTTCGCACCCCCCCCTCCCCCCCCTCCATGGAGTAGATCCTGGCCGTCTTTGGCGCCTGTTTCAAGCAGGTGGGGTCTCACCCACAGGACGCACGGTCCCAAACAGTCGCACTCAGCAGAAGTCCGGAGCCAGACCCCCCCCCTTCCGCCCAATGTCGAAACGCCGAGTCAAAAAAAATCGTGCACGTGCCCGCTGCCCGAGAGCAACACGCGCTCGGCCCTGATGGTGTGGAAGCCCCCCCGCAGCTGCTGGTCGGTTCGTCTCGGCTGCTGCCGCGGCGATGGTGGGAGTGGGCAAGAGTGGCGTCGCCTCCTGCCGCAAAGTACATGTCTGCGTTGCGCAAGCAGCCAGGGCTTGCTTCCCGCCCTCGTGCTGCTAGTTGTCGGAACACTTCTCGTCCCAGTCCCCTTCCACGCGCCAGTCTGAGTACCAGCTGTCCAAGTACGGGTCGTTGTAGAAGCGATGCCAGGAGCCACCCATGAGTTGCAGGATACTTGCGACATCTGCGGGCGATGGCGGCAGCGCCTTCCGAGCCGCATGGACCAGGCCGTTGAAGGCTGCAGGCTGATACACACATCAGACATCTTAAGAAAACGCGTCGACATCCATGGACCCAGATTTCGCTTCCTGCAATTAAGAATCCGGGCTGGACCCTGGGCGCTTTCGTGGAGCCTTGTTTCTTCGTCGAATGTTCGTGCACGTGGACCTGGACTGCTGGTCAAGATGACGCTTCGAGCAGCGCCCGCTTTCTCAGCCCAAAGATCTTCATCCAGAGCGCCGGGGTGTGAGTGGGTGTGCGTCTCCACGACGGTCCTTTAATCTCGGCTGATGGACGCCAGCCGATGGGGTAGGCGCAATAGTTCATGCAATAGTTGGTGCTTGGATGCAATAGTTTGCGGCGTGGATGCAATAGTTCCGCGCGGGTGTTGCTTCGTCTTGTTTCGTGCGCAATAGCTCAGGCGGTTTGCAATAGTTCGTGCCCCCTCGCAATAGTACGCGCGCAATAGTTCAGGCAAACGAACTATTGCACCTACTGCCGTCCCCCCTTTTGTGTTCCCCCCATCGCTCCATCGTAAAAGGTGGCCGGCCCGAGGCCATGGCGCGAATCCTGCGGGCGCCACGCCCGGGCGTCGCCGCGAGAGGGCGGGCGGGCGCGCCCCGATCTCTCGGGCGCAGTCGCCTGGGCCTGCTCCTCCCCCTCCTCCTCCTCCCTCCGAGAGGAGGGCGAGGCGGAGGGGGAGGGGGACAAGCTAGGTGCGCTCGCGTCATATCTGACGTCCTACCCCTCCCTCCCATCCCTTACCATGGCGCTGATTTTCTCTATCCGCGGACGCGTGTCGTAGCGGACTTGTGGCTCCGCGCGCGCGTGCGTAGTGGGCGGTGGTGCGCGTGCGTGCGTGTGTGCGTGCGTGTGTGGTTGTGGTGGTGCTGGTGCTGGTGCTGGTGCTGGTGCTGGTGCTGGTGCTGGTGTTGGTGCTGGTGCTGGTGTTGGTGCTGGTGCTGGTGCTGGTGCTGGTGCTGGTGCTGGTGCTGGTGCTGGTGCTGGTGCTGGTGCTGGTGCTGGTGGTGGTGGTGGTGGTGCGGCGCGGTGGTGGCGGGCGGATGGGCGCGCGAGAAAGAGGACCGCGCTGCGGCGAGAACGCCATCCTCAACGACGGAGGCCAAACACCGATCCGAAAATGAGGCCCACGCTGATTCGGAACGATTCGGGAGCAGAAATGAGGCCGGCGCCTCAGCGAGAGCAGCATTTTGGGGGGGGGGGGGAACAAAAAAAAAAAAAAAAACGGAAACCCGTTTCCCGGGAATCCTGTGTGTAAAAAACAATACGCGGGGGGGTGTCGGATATCTTCGGGACGCCATCAGGGGAAGTGGGAGAGTATTTTCATATTGTGTAATTGTGGAGAGGAATAAGGAGGCCGGGGAAGAGGAGGACTGAGGAGGAGGAGGAGGAGGAGGGAGGAGGAGGAGGAGGAGCGGGGAGGAGGAGGAGGAGGAGGAGGAGGAGGGAGGACCATCGCATGCTAATGAGGAAGGCTAAGGTTAGGCCGACCCGACCCTAACCGAAGCCTGTGGGTTACATCCGCTTTCCCCTTACGCTCGCTTTCGTCACTACGTCGCCCCTCCTTCCTTGAGGAGCTGGGCCGCAGGGATGGGCAGGGAAAGTCGGGGGCGGGCCTTCATACTACTCTTGGGATGACGGCCGCTTGCCAGGAGGGACCACGCACCTTGGGAGAACTTGCTTTGGAAGCGCTCCTTGCATTCACCTTTGAGACCTTTGAGGTTGCTTTCGCTGTAGCGGCCGCACCTCTTACAAACGACTAGGAAGGACTCGACATCAAGGTAATCGCATATCATTAAATGGTGCTTCTGGGGGTCCCTAGTTAGCTTTGACAACATGACTGAATTACCTGGGCATGCTTCACGCATGCGGGCCTTGCGGGCACTGTCCGTGCGGGCGCGGGTATGACACGCTAGGCACAGCCAATGATTATTAAGCCATGCCCACGGATGTCTGACCACGCCCGGGGGGGCACGGCACGCACGAGCACGCCGAGGACGACCCCCGGGGGGCGGGGGTGGTGCAGTCCACTCGCTGACTGCTCCCGCTGCCCCAACTGGGGGGTTGAGGCTCTGGGCGGGCTTCTCGTAGGCCTTCTTGCCCGACTTCGGAGCGAGAGGGGCCCGCAAGGAAAGCGCCTCAGCAGCATACTTCACAAGCCTCTGAACTCGGCTACGGCATTCTTTATAATACTCGATTTCTCTCTGGGACGGGGCGGGGATTCTGGCAGCCGCTTGTTTGGCCACCTTGTCCGCCCGGTCATTTCCTTTGGCAACAAACCAGTCCCTCGAGCCGACCACCAGGGACGACAGATCCTGGTGGGCCTTTACTTTCCCGATCTCGAGGGGCGCAAAGCAGCTCTGGGTCCTGGCCAGAACTGAAACTCCTGAGTACATTTCCCTCGGTGAGACTTCGGCGCTCTGGTGCACCGAGAGGATGCCCTTGAAATCCGTCCACGCTTTGGTGACTCTGGGGCAGGAAGTAGCAACTAAAAACCCCAGGTGTTCGGCAGCTGGCGACGTGGGGGGGAGGCTGGCCCCCACAGGGCCTGAGAGACTGGCAACCAGGTCGCCGTCCTCGTCGATTTTGACCACGGACCAGGCGGGGGCGTCGTACACCGCGGGCCCAGGTTTCAAAACACTGCCATCGTGGAAAACTTCTCCTTGCATGGCCACCTCCTTGGGCAGCCCATCACGAGACCAATATACAGCCTGATCTAGTCCTAAACCAGGGGGCCTCAGAGCTATGGGTTCAGGTCGAAGTTGAAATCCTAACACATATGGAAATCCATTCCTCGGGTCCTTGAACTCTTCGACATCTGCTTCATTTAACAGTTCCTCTCTCAAGTTGTGGGTCTGCGGGCACTCGAGGAGCCTGTGGGGGATGGAGTCCACGGGGCCCTTGCACAGCTCGCATTCGACTTCATTATGATAGCCTGCCTCGGCCATCTGTTCGTTGGACCAAATACACTGGCAGCCATATGAAAGCAGCGTCTTCCTTTTGTAGGCCAGCACTGTACTGTCCTGCAGCGCGTGCTGCATGACCGACGGGTCGAGCGGCTCGTCGAAACCGAGCTTCTGCCCCGCCTTCGCGTCTAACTGCAACTGCCACTGGGATTGAAACAGCTTCTTGATGAGGGCAGGGGAGGTAGCGATGAGAGGGTAGCCCTGGCCTTGCGAGTCTCGAAAGACGAGCGGGTCGGGCATGGGCCACCCCAGACAGCTCAAGCTGAGAAGCGTTGCCCCTAAGGGCCCTCGGATCTGGCACCATTTCGTCGGGGGCTTGTGGGGGACCTGGAGGGCTTGTTCGCGGAGACCCACCAGAGAAAAGCCGATCGTACCAGGATAATGAGCAACTCTCCAGATCAGGTTGGCCCAATAACAGGCCGGCCCCAGAGCAGCACTCCACGTCGGGCCCCTCAATATCGATAATGCCAGGGACCTGGATCTTGTAGCACAGCGGGGCCCTACAATCTTGAGGTAGAGGGACTGGGCTTCGTGCAACTCAGGGTTGGTGAGGCTGACGACCTCGGCGCCATAGTAGGCGGCTGCTTTCAAACCTGTCTGATAGACCTTCCGCATATTCGCACCTGCTCGCCTAATCTGGGCCATGCGGTGGAGTCGACGTTTCATATTGGAGGTTCGCTTCGCCAGAGTTTTTCTGGCCTTCTTCGAAACCCTATTGCCCATGGTGAAATCGACTCCGAGGTTTGGCGCAGACTGTGCTTGGTTGACTCCATCTGGCCCACTGTACTTGCCTAGAGCTTTGGCCAGGCGATGCCGCACTGCAGCAGACGAGCCCAGCACTGCAGCCTTGTGCAAGGCGACCGAGCAGTCGAGGTCCTCCTCGATTAAATCTAGCATGCTGTCGGAGGCCTGCGCCAGGTCCGACACCAACAGGCGAACGCTTGTGTTGTTGCTTGTCAACATCTATGAAGATTGAGGGGTCCACGGTGGGGAATTTCGGAACCCAGGAGTCCACGGGGGGAACCGTATACATCTGGACGTTGTAAGTCGCAAACGAGCAGCCAGCAGGGAAGCCTTTGATAGCACACCCCGCGTAGGTAGCCAATGTTCTGGTTGCGACAGCCCTGGGACCCCCATACTGATTCATCATAATACACGTGAGCGTCTCCGAAAATCCAGAAGAGATCGCCCGAGATGTCCATTTCTCCCGATTGACATTCTCATTATAGTTAGATAAATCCCATAAAACCCACCAGTGTGGACAGCTTGATAGCCAGCAAGTTCAGCCTTCAAGGCCCGAGCATAAACAGTTTCAAGCACACCTCGACCGGACTGATGAGCAAGATAAGGCCTCTTGTTGGCCCTTTCCC